ACAGAACAGAACTGCCTTCCCATGGAGTTTCATGGTTATAATCTTAAGGGGAGCAAATAACCAGATCTTTTTTGCTCCCACAGAGCAGCTGGTAGGTTCAGACCACTGACCTATTATCCAGATGGTTTAACGGTCCACCTTGTGGTTCACAGCTGAGCATTTTGCCATTGTGCCACCGGAAAAGTGATTACTTTTACATCCTGCATTCTGAGAACAGGGAAAGATGGAGATGGCTATTTAAACGTTATGGGGAAAATGCTTTTAGCATTGAAACACTGATCCCTAACTCTTCCAGGCCTGACTTGAACGTGTTTCCATAGTGAAAATATGCTTATTCAGCTGCTCTCTTTCTCTCTCTCCCTCCCGCCCTCCCTGTACCCTAACCTATACGGGCTTACATTCTGTATTTACAATTCCACTTAAAAATACTGGTCATGAAGGATCAGTTCCCAATTTAGTACTTTACTAATCAAGTTCTGGTTCACCGCCTGATTTTTGGATCATGCTGTACCCTGAAAACAAAAAAATGCACTAGAAAAATAATAGCTCCACTTATTTATAAACAGAGGCTGACACAAAGCTACTAGTGGAGGAAATGGAGGCGACTGAGCATAAATGAAAATGTTATAAGTTACCCATCCTTCTCTTGATGGAACGAGTCACAGAAAAACATTTTTCACTTTAGAATAGATTTGAAAAGGCCTTTGCCAAAAGCCAGTTTTTTAAATTTTCCATTTGAATTTTAAACAGGATTATACTTGCCCAGGAACCTCAAGCTATTTTTAGCTAATAGGTAAGATTACTCTGTCCATAATAGTTTGGAGCAATCAGGAGTGAAACAGTATCTCTCACTTTATCATTTAGCACCTAGATTTCTCTTTTAATATTTTACAAAGCTTCATCATAAATGTACTCATTAAGCACTCATACTAGGCATAATACAAATTCAAATAGAAAGTCCTGGCTCCTATATTTCAGTATGGGTTTAATCCATTTTAAGCAATCCAGATGTACGGATAAATCTCAAGACTAAAACATTCGCAACAAGTGGCCACCCAGTCCCTAAGTGTCCAGAGAAGATACATTGTGGAATTGTCCTAACCCTATAGCCATTCCAATGCTTGTACCCCCTTTATGTATTAAAAGAAGGAATCAAAAATAAACTCACTGCCATCGAGTTGACTTTGACTCATAGCAACCCTGTAGGTCAGGGTAGAACTGCCCCTGTAGGTTTCCAAGTCTCTAACTCGGTACTGGAGTAGCATCTACTCTCTCCCAAAAGAAGCAAAGGTAATGAAAATGATCTAAAATTGATCATAGTAATAGTTACCCAACCTTGTGAATATACTAAAAGCTACTGAATTGTTAAGTGTGTATGGTTATCTGAATGATATCTCCATAAAGATGCTTAAAAAGAAAAAAAGAAAACACAGAAAAACCTGTGTTTACTCTGATAGTTCTAATTGGTCAAAGGTCATTTTTAAGCTTGCATGCTATAGAATATCTAGCTAAAGGCTGTACTGGTTTGGCTGATTTGGCACCTCGTAGCCACTGTGGTGATCACTGATCCTTCGTGTCCATCATCCTTTCTCTCTTTCCCAAACCTCTTTTCTGTCGCTCCTCCACCTAAACTCTGTCTTAGGTGTTTCAGGTATTCACAAACAGCTTTGTCTCAAATGATGGGATCGAGTTCAAATAGAAAGACCTGGCTCCTATATAGCAGAATGGGTTTAACCCACCTTAAGCAACCCAGTTATCTTGGGATCAGGATGAGAATGAAACCAACAGTTGACCCTTTAGGCAACTTTCCCTCCATGACCTTAAGTAAGTCCTTGCTCTGTTCCAGTCTTCACAAGGAGGGATTGGACTACATGACCCTTTGCACCTCTCACAATGTGTAGGTAAGGAAAAAAATCCGAATAATGAACATTTATTTGGCCAATAATATACAAAATCTGTCTCTGTCATTTCAGCCAACAGACATAGATTTGGATTACAGTGAACCCTCGTTTATCGCGGTTAATCGGTTCTAGACCCTACCGTGATAAATGAAATTCCGCGAAGTAGGATTCCTTATTTGTAAATCAAATATTTTCGTAGTTAGAGCATAGAGGACATGAAAAAACACCCTTTAGTCACCATTACACTCGTATTACCCAATTTATTAAACGAAAAAGGGAAAATACAGTAAAACATTTTGATGTTACAATTATCATTTATTATTTATTATATTATTTATGGCATCAAGCGTGTACAGTATGAGCCAATCAGTGGCAGTAATGACAGAGCATGCGCTGTTACGCAAAAACCGCGATAGAGTGAAGCCGCGGAAGTCGAAGCGCGAAGTGGCGAGGGTTCACTGTATTCCCTTTTAAAACATCCACCATGATGCAATTCTCCAAAGAACAGTATTTAATGTCTTTATAAAATGAATATCATGGAGTCTTTATTTTTTAAAACTAGCACTTTATCAAAGAAAATTCAAAGCCCAACTAGGAAGGCTTGATGGTACCCCTGGATCAGTCTCCAGGATTCCATTTGCAAATGAAAAAAAAAACCTTTTCGTTATTAGGGCCCTGTTGGAACTACTAAACCAAAGAAAGAAGTTAAGACTGGAAGGTAAAGCTTTGACGACAATGGTCCAAGTAAATCCTAAGATTTCGTTAAGAAAGGCCCTGTTCAGCAAGTGGTAGAAAGACTTAAAATATATAACACTGCACCTCAACATATTACTGATGCTCACTCTCAAAAATACATTCAGAGAGCAATAAACACTGTACGAATTCCCCCTTAACCTAGACAACTTGCAGCTCTTTATGCAAACCAAGGACATTCCCCAACAAAGCTCAGAGAAATATGTAGTCATCAGTTGCCAACATACCTCCAGGCACTCTAAGTTCACATTATTTCCATGACTTCAACCTCAGGGAGCAAAACCGAAACACGGGAATTCCTATACACACAGAAACACGCGCGAGCACGATCGCACACAAATCACAAACACAAGAAACCATTTCCTTTGCAGAACCTTACGTTTTCAAGGTTGTAGGTATGCATTGGCTAAATATTGATTGGTAATAAAAACCCCACGGTTACCTCTATATGAAGAAGTAAACCACACGGAAAATATAAAATCACCCCTACGGTAAGTTCCTTGTCATTAAACACCAAATGTGAAAAGAAATAGCTCGAAGTGTCCAGTTGCATCCCTCTTTCCCATGATCTCTGACCAACAAGCTGTGGGCTGACCTCCCCTACATCTTCAAATAAGGTCAACAGGCCTCCTCTTCCTTCCCTTCGGGTGCTTGGGGTGCTAAGCAAAGCGGATGGGGAGTGGGGCCAGAAACCACAAAGGTAGACGCTTTTCTTTCCATTCAACTTTACAAAACCGGGCTGCCTGCCTCCTGCTTCACATCCTGGAACCGGAGCACCTGCCAGGAAAAGGTCCTTTCTTCCACTTTAGGGCCCTCCTCCCCAGGGACCAGGTGTTGAAGGAGCCCAGGCATTGCAGTCCAAAAGGACAAAGGCTGGACTAACCTAGGGGAAGGTGAGCCGATGTAAGTCGAGCCCACGACGAAAACCCTTGCAAACAAATAGACGTAGTGGAGGGGCAAAGAGAATACCAAGTCAATCTCGGGTGGTCGTAGAGCTTTGGTGGTGAAAAGCACGCGGGGGAAGGGAAGATGTAGGCACAGCAGAGGGCTGGAAAGGGGCTGATGGCAAAATTGCGGCCCTGAGGCAACAAGGGGGCGCGTTTCGTGTGCGGGTAGAGATGATGGCCAAGAGGTATAGGCCAGGCAGGGCCCAGCCCTGGAAGGCACCCTAGGGGACTGGAAGGCGGTCCTCGGGTGAGGGGGGGGCTCCAAAGGTTGTAAGCCACGTGAGGGTGGGGGTCGAGGGCACCGGTAAGGCATTCGGGGTAGAGGGCAGCATTGGGGGCACAGTGTTGGAAAAGAGAAAGGCCGAGAACAGAACCGTGGAGAGGATAGGGGGAACTGTGATGGGGCCTGACCCCTGTCCACCCCACCTCACCTGGCGCCGGATCAGAATCCAGGTCTAGTCCTGAGAAAGCGCAAGCTCCGTACAACCCCGCTGTCCCGCACGAGAGACCACGGACACAAAGCGGGGCGCGCGGGAGGAAGGAACAGGGGAAAAAATGGAGAGGGGGAGGGTAAAAGGAGGAGGAGGAGACGCCTGAGGCGCGCAAGGGGAGAAGGAGGGGCAATCGCCACTCTTCGCTTGGGTCAGGGGGCGGGGCATGCGCCTGGAGGCCAAGCTCCTCCAGCCTATAGTCACTCAGCAGGCCAGCTGTCTAGGGCGTGCCTTTCCACAGTTTACCTCGGCACCTGGCCCTCGGCGGACTCCAGCCAATCAAATACCTTCCACTGCCAACCTTGTCCCCAAACCTGGGAAATGCTCACACAGAAAACAAAGCAAGCCCCCTGACCCCCGCGGGGGAAGGGGGTCTGCTCCAGGTCCTCCACCCCAAAGGATAGCATCACCTTTCCAACGCTTATGCGTCTTTCACAGTAACCCTACTGAAGAGAGGAGAGTAGGGATTTGGCCCCACTTCTCTTAGGTCGGGACTTTTTCTCTCCAGGTTCTTCTAATCGACAGCTACCCTTCCCCGGTACGGAGGCACACTCCCCAGCTCTCACCTTAGAGCCCTGCATCTCCCCCTCCCCTTTTTCCAGTTTCCTCAATCTTCCTGTTTAACTTCCTTAGGCTGCTGCCCACTGCTGGCCTTCTGTTGCATTGCAGCCCTGATCAGCAGGCTCTGCAAAGCCTGATAGATGATCCCGAGCTGATCAAACCAACCTCCTCTGTTCAAAATGAAAACCAGAGGAAGAGGTGACTGCACGAGAGTAAGAACTAGAGTAAGAGGGACTTGGTCAAGTGTCTTTTTTTAATCGATGATGGCAAAAAAAAAACACACCCCAAACTGGCACATAGAATTCTAAACTCCCCAAATCATCCCTCCCCGCCCTCCCTTCTCCTACCTTCAGGTCTGTACTGAGCCACAATGGTGACTGACTGGCCAGCCCGTTTCAGAGCAGCTGCAGCCTGCTCGTGAGTTGCATTCCTCAGGTTCACTCCATTCACCTGTACAAAGAGAGAACCAATGAGCCACTCCCCAAACAAGAAAAGAATCCCCTGTGTGTCAAGAGAAAGCGATGGGTCATCCATCCCTAATCCTATTTAGATTCAAACCAAAACTCACTGCCATCGAATCAATTCTGACTCATTATGACCCAAAAGGACGGAACAGAACTTCCTCTGTGGGTTTCCTAAAGTGTAAATCTTTACAGGAGTAGGAAGCCACATCTTTCTGCCATGGAGCACTTAGTGGATTTGAACAGCTCTCCTTATAGTTTTCAGCCCAACTGGTAGCTCACTAGACCACCAAGGCACCTTTCTCAAAATCCCATCCTTGCACTTAAGGATAGAAACCTAAAGAAATGCAACACTTCTAATGCAATACAGGTAGTTCCCGACTTATGTTCCAACGATGCAGTTGTAAGGCAGTTCTGATGTAAGTAAAATACCTCTTTTTTTTAAAAACTGTTACTGCTTTAAAAAAAGAAGAACATTTGAGATGAGCCAGTCAGGGTGCGATGTAGCGATGATGAGAAATACAACTTTCCTCTAGTTCCTAAATGTTTCCTCCCTGCTCCCACTACCACGACTGTCTGGCTAGACCAGAGGAGGTACACTGGTATAGATGGGAACTGGAAATACAGGGAATCCGGGACGGATGAGCCCTATAGGACCAGTGGTGTGAGTGGCGAAACAGGGAGGGTAAAGGGAGAATGGGTAGGAAGGAGGGAACCGATTACATGGAACTGTGTGTGACCTCCTCCCTGGGGGACAGACAACCGAAAAGTAGATGAAGGGAGACGTCGGACAGGGCAAGATATGACAAAATACCCATTTATAAACTATCAAGGGCTCATGCGGGAGGGGGGAGCGGGGAGGGAGGGGAAAAATGAGGACCTAATGTGGGGGGTTTCAATGGCGAGAAAATGTTTTGAGAAACGATGTACAAATGCGCTTTACACAATTGATGTGTGTATGGATTGGGATAACAGTTGTATGAGCCCCTAAGAAAATGTTAAAAAATAAAATAAAATAAAAAATATATAATTAAAAAAAAAACTAGGAAAAAAAAAAAGAAGAACATTTATTGAAGTCTTAAACAGGACAAGGGTAAGACAAAGACAAGGATATATTAGCCAGATGTGGGAGACAACTAATATGAGATTGTAATGATGTCCAACAGCTTGCTGATATACAGAAATTTAAAAAGGACATGAGAGGTCAAGGAAGACAATCACAAATGCATGGTTGGCAGATCAATATATCATAATTACAGGTGGGATTATCAAAGGGGGAACGGGGTCCTGATTGGGATACATACATTGTGGTAGACAAAGGAGTTTACAAGGTTGGTCCAGGGAACTCCCCAAGGCAGTCAAGGCATGACTTCTGACTGTGCAATCATTGTACAGTGTGTTATTTCCTTTGATTATCGATATCTTTATAAATTTGATCTTTATCTTTGGGGATTGGAAACATTGCCTACAAACTTTTAGATATATTTTAATACATGCACACCTGTGTTTTTCCCAATTGTCTTACCATAGACCTTAATGATCTTCCTCTGAAGATCAGGGTCTATAGCTTTCCTTGCCTTTGTTGTGATTAGCATGACTTCTTTTGCAAGACATATTATGGAGGTTTTAAGCAGTGCAGTCATTACAGCAGGAGGAACTTGAACTTCAAAATAACAACCAATGTTTCTGATTATATGAAATGCTGAATAAGATCAAGCTATAAGCCTGTTCTGCATTGAAATTAGTGTCAGTGTCCTAACATTAAAGTCAGAGTTGGAACGGCTATCAGGTGCATGTGCACTTCAGTTGTTATATGTCTTTAGAAATGAACATTGCCCAGCTTCCTATCCATCGCTACTCTTGACACTGACTTCATTACAGACAAGGCAATATTTTGAACAGTAAATTCTAACATTGAACATCTGCTAGTGAATATCTGAGAATGATAACATCAGCAAATTATACACACTCCAACATTGTATGTTGTTCATATTACTGAAGATATAAAACAAAACAAAAAAACAGAAGCAGATGGTTGTATATGCACTTTGTTATAATTCAAATGTGTTGTAAGTTGGGGATGGCTGGCAATTAGGGACTACCTGCAATTATTTTTGAGTGGATCAACTGCCAAGGGTCAAGAACCAAGGGATATTTACTTTTTGAAGGATATCTATCTAGTATTGGGCTCTGTCCCTAAGGATGTCTATAAAGAGAATTTAAGTTTTCTCTAGCTCTTAGCCCTTCTCCCATCTCAAGAAAAGTTCTTTAGAGAAATTAAAGTCTCCTCTCCTCCCTTTTAGATTAGTACAGCTCCTATCCCCTCGCCCCTCCTTAGTGTCCTCACCGATAAGATTCGGTCTCCCCTGCGCAGCTCTCCACTCAGGTCAGCTGGGCCTCCTGCCAGAATGAAGGAGACAAAAATGCCTTCTCCATCCTCTCCTCCTACAATGTTGAATCCAAGGCCTGTGGAGCCTTTATGCAGGATAATCTTGCGGGGCTCTCTGGAAGGAAAAGAGTGGAAGGATCGGGACAAGTTAGAGTGGCTCTCAATCTTCCTAATGCTGTGACCCTATAATACAGTTCCTCATGTTGTGGTGACCCCCAACCATAAAATTACTTTTGTTGCTACTTCATAACTGGAATTTTGCTGCTGTTATGACTCAGGCGACCCCCGTGAAAGGGTTGTTCGACCCACAAAGGGGTTGCAACCCACCGGTTGAGAACCGCTGGTGTAGTAGATGTAAACTTTTGACACTGTAAGGGCAAGTTTATAAAAAAGATTTTACTTGCCATAGGAAGCCAGGACTTAGGTTCCTATGTATGACGTCCTGATCTTCCTGCTCTCTCTTGAAACCTGCTTGGCTTCTGTCTTCTGCCAGGTGCCAAGTTCTAGGGGTGTTCCCCCCCCTCCCTCCTTCCTGAGGGCTGAAAATTAACTTCCCAGGCCCCGATCCTGTCAGGGCAACAAGCCCATGCCATGGGTTCTAGAAACCAAATCTTATAGCCCACTTGCAGGTCTGCTTCCTCCCCAGGTTTTCCTGTGTTATCAGCTGGTATGGTAGAACCTGGGTCATAAGAAGAGGAACCAGTTTGGATCAATGAAACCACCTGAGGTTGACTGCACTCACCATCTACAGAATTGATGTCCTTACACATGTTCCTCCTCCACAGGCTCAAAAGTCCACCTGTTAAATATGACACGCACATCCTACCTTCCTACAACATAATTTATTCACTAATTCCCATCATATACCTTTGCTAGGTGATGTGGGAGACTGAGATCAAGCAATCCGAGGTCTCCAACAGGAACAGTAGGCCTAACTGAAGAGAAGAGACTAGCGCATGAAAAGTATGACTAAAACAAAATCTTTCTAAAGAAGTCCTCTGGAAGTGGTCACTGTGTTATCAAGGAGGAGGGGCCACATACACAACCAAAAGTGTCTACCTAGCCAGTCGGACTCCCAGTCCACTCTCAGGGCCCACCACCTTCACTTGTAAGCACCTGTCATCAGAGGTGCCCCCAGGGGCAAAGTCTCTTTCTCACTGTCCTCACTCAGTTGGGAGGCTCTGTCTCCGAGTTTCAGATAGTCTTCCTCACAGTCCTCCACTTTTCCTACCTTGCAACCCCTCCAGAAGGCAGGCAGCAGAGTGGCCAGGCCCACCTCTGTGAAGCCTTTCTCCAGGCCAAGGCCGAAGGGGAGGCCAAGCCCAAGGTCAAGCTGGAGCCTGAGAACTTGTGTGCCCTCTCCATAGCTCCTCTGGCTCTTCCCAGTCTGCCTACCCTTCTAGGCTCCATGGCAGTTTGCACAGCAGTCTACCAGGCCCCACCCGACAAACCTGTCCCCTGGAACCTAGCAGGCCAGACCAGTTCCATGGCCGCTGACACTGCTGTTGTGGCCCCTGCTGCTGCAGCCGCCAGAGTGGGGTGGGGCAGCTCCCTGAGAGGCCACCTAAATTCATCAGCCCACCCACCCCACTCCCGTGCCCCAGTGTCCCACCAGCTCCATACCCTGAACTGCTTTCTTCTCTAATTTGAAGTGAGAGCAGTAGGGAGGGTTGCAAATACATCAGGGCAGAAAACCCTGCAGCTCCCAACCCCTCAGCCCCTAAAGCATCCTCTCCCACCACATTCAGGTCTGGTGTCAGACACTCAGCACTCCCCCTGATGGCAGAGCTTGTCCCAGCAGCTATCTCCGTCCTTCCCTTGGGCCTCAAGGACTAAGAGAGGGCCTCAGATCCAGACTGCAAAGATGCTTGTGGCTAGCCAGACGCTTCTCCCTCTCCTCTTCCATCCTGGAGCTGAATGAACTGGGGGTGAAGTCTTACCTGGTGAAGTCCTCCTCGGCCAATATATGCCTGGGGATAGGAGAGTAGCGGGCTGGAGGAACCTGAGGAGGAGCAGGATAGCTGACTTTGCTCTCAACAGCCCCAAGATAACCCAGGCTGGAATTATGGCTTATGTGGTTGTCAGCCAGGGGAGTAAAAGCTAGAATCCAGAAAAAGAGAGAAATATTCAGAGACTGCTCCAGGCAGTCTACTCACCCCCCTCCAAGAACTTTCACACACACACCTCCTCTCAAATCCAAAAGAGACCCAGGGATGCCAATTCCTCAGGCCTCTCCTCCCCACTCCACCCCTTGCCCCTGGTTCCTCCTCCACAGACCCTTTCTGAATCCTGAGCTCACTCCCGTGAGTCTTAGATTACAAGGAACTATATGTGACCTCCTCCCTGGGGGACGGACAACCGAAAAGTGGGTGAAGGGAGACGTCGGATAGGGAAAGATATGACAAAATAACAATTTATAAACTATCAAGGGCTCATGAGGGAGGGGGGAGCAGGGAGGGAGGGGAAAAATAAGGACCTAAGGCCGGGGGTTTAAGTGGAGAGAAAATGTTTTGAGAATGATGAGGGCAATGAATGTACAAATGCGCTTTACACAATTGATGTGTGTATGGATTGTGATAAGAGTTGTATGAGCCCCTAATAAAATGATTAAAAAAAAGAAGTGAAGTCAAAGTAGTCTATCACAAACAGCATGACTGGAGATGTCACTAATAATAATCTCTCACATCTCTATAGCCTAACACCATTTTCGAAGATTTCTCGTCCACGATCTCATGAGATCCTAGTAGCAGGGCTATGAGGAAGGCAGGATGTTTCACATTAGCTCCTTTTTGCCACAGAGGCCATCAAAGCCCAGGGAAAGGGGCTTGTCCAAGGTCACCTGACTATATGGTCCAGAGCTGCCATTTGGACCCAGTTTGTTTTTGTTTGTTTTTTCTGAGCACTACTCCTCGGCTCTCTTTTAACCAGGGATATGAATCTCTTCTCCAAAAAACCACGAGCAGGGGTGTGAGGCCAAGGACAGCTGGATGGTACATACTGCTGGCGTAGTCTGGGGGTGCGTACATGTCGTTGAGGTGGAGGCTGCCTGGCTTGGCCACCTTCAGATAGACCATATCAGATGTGTTCTTCAGGGAGGCCACTGCTTCCTCATGCCTCACATCCTGTAGATTAGTGTTGTTCACCTAGAAGGTGGGAAGCTTTAGGGATAGCCATGGGAAAAGGGAGAGGCTCCTCTCCAGGGAACCCTGAGAGATGGCCTTTTTGTGAGATTCAATAGTGCTCTAAGAGAAGTCCAAGTATAGTGGTGTAAGAAACAAAAAAGCATGAGGTAGAGGGTACCGCCACCCCACCCCCAGCCCCGCCCGACCCAGCCACCAACCCAGCCATGGAAAGAACTAGAGTCTTGGTGTCTCGGTAAATGTGACTCAGATGATGCTCTTGAAATGCCTCATGTCTGATCCCTGAGTGAGGTTTAGGTGGATAAGAGGGTTTGGGAGCTCGACCTCCTCACCCTGTCATTTTCACATCCTGATGAAAGCAGTCTTACCGCCAGCAGTCGGTCCCCAATCTGCAGGCGTCCGTCTTTCTGTGCAGCACCCCCCTCAATGATCTTGGTGATGTAGATGCTGTTGTCTCCTGGGATGTGCTGGTTGCCAATACCCCCTGCAATGCTGAAACCCAGGCCTGAGTGGGAGCCAGCGGGGAGTAGGAAGGGGCCAAAAGGAGAGATTAGTGTGCTCATTCAATCCCATATCCACCCCCAGCCAACCCTTCCCAGCCAACCCACTGGCCTCACAGGAGTTCTCTCAGGGGTCATAGGTCAGAGAGGATAAGACCTGAGGTCAAGAAAGAAGGCCGTGAGTTGGAACAGGGGGAATCAGGCAAGGAGTAAGGCCAGTCCCTTCCACTTCCTATGGGGTCAGGCAGGACCCAGGGCCAGGAGCTCTGGTCAGAGCACAGGAACCCAGACAGCCGCACCTTTGGGCCCTTTGAGCAGGTTGACCTCCATGATGGTCTCGGGTGGGGGCTGTCGCCTCCGCACCACCAACCGCACCACAGGGCCTGCCTCCTTCAGCGCCTCCACCGCTCGGCTGTGCACCACCTCTGACACGTCCACCTCATTCACCCGCAGCACACAGTCATTCACCCTGCAGGGGAAGGCACAACACTGCGCCACCGCCACTCCACCCCATGCCCCACCTTCTCCCTTCCTTTCCTCATCTCTCCTCCCCTCCCCCCCACCCTTCCTCCCTCCTCTGTCCAGTATCCCCCCTCCCCCTCCCCCTCCCAGATCTGATGGAAGGGTCATCTGCCAGGTGGGCCCTCCTCCCTTCATCTTCATCATGCCCCTGCTGCCCCCACCCTACTTCCAAGCCACCTCACCCCAGTCTCCCATCCATGGCAGCGGCTCCACCAGGAATGATCTTGGTAATGAAGATGCCAGGGTCATCAGGGACATGTGGGTTGTCGATGCCACCTGCAATGCTGAAGCCCAGGCCGGAGTTGCCCTGCAGAAGGGGTAGAAGGTACAGTCTGTTCACTCAGAGTGGACAAAGGAGGATTTCTGGTGTCCACTTTCCCCTACCTCCAAGGGGAGGTTCTCCAGGTCTTAAGGACCATGGCAGGCAGGGTTACATGTCATAAACCTAGTGGCTTCACAATCTGTGCTGTCCATTTTGGTGTGGGAGATTCGACCAAATCCATTTCTTCTCAGTTCCCCAGGCATCAGTGAGCAAGGTCAATTAATATGTGTTAGTAGCTTGAGTGATTGATATAGTGGCTCAGCCTAGGAGGGCCACTGTTCCTCCATCATTTCAATGTAGGTCCTGCCATGAGTCTTGAAACCAAGGTTCAAATCCTCCTCTCTCCTGGCCCAACACCCTTCCTTCCCCTGTAGTCCGCTACCCACTGACAGACTTACCCGCTCAAGTACAATCTCCTCATACTTGAACATGCCATCACTGCCATTCACCTAGGGGAAGACACAGGTAGTTCTCTGAGCCTACTGACGCCCCGGCCATATGCTCCCTTGTCAAGCTGCCTTCCCCCTACTCCATCTCCCACAGAAGAGAAAGGCAGAAATCTATCCCAAGGCACCTCTTGGTCACAGATAGGCACAGACCGACCCCAAGGAAGACATCCTTTTCCCCTGCTTCCAGCCATGTCAGGCCAAAACCCAGCTGCTTGTGTAGCCCAGATCAATTGCCTGGGACTGAAGTAGCCAGTGGTGCACTCATGGCGAGGCTCAGCTCCAGGGCCTCAGGGTTCGCTAGGAAGGAAGGATGCAGGAGTGGCCTGAGAGGGATGGCAGAGATGGTGAACCGTGGGCAAATCATGTCATACTCAGCATCTATAGGAGGTACCCAGTGACTTGAATAGGAATCCTCCCTTCTCTTCCAAACCACAGGTCTCCCTGACTTAGGGTTCGGACTCCTACCACATCAAAGCTGGAAGAGCAGTAGGCACCATCTTGTTACAATATGTCACACCGAGACCCAGAAAGCCACATGGGATGTGTCGAAGGGCACGCTGGGGAAAAGTGGTAGAGCAGGGGCTAGGACCGAAGAGATTCAGGTCCTCTGCATATGCAAGCAAGCCGTCAAGACTGTTGATGTTTTGGTGGCCCAGCCATTCCCCCAGCAGAGCATGTGGAAAAGTGGAAAGTTGCCCTTTTCCAGAGCACTTCATGATCCTCCTTCTACACCTCCCTCTGTGTTCCCAGGCACCCAGTTCCTCGAACAGGAAGAAGGAATCAAAGTGATAATCCGTGTTCTACAAGAGTTGTTTGTTTTTAAAAATCCCGAACTCTTCCCATTTCCCAGCACAAAGAGCCTTGTCATGATCTGGCCCAGGCTGGGGGGTGGGGGATGAGAGGAGACAAGCTAGTCCATGAGGGGGACACTGGAGCAGAACCTGTAGCCTGCAACCGTCAGTGGCCATGGAAGAAGAGGCAAGAAATGGAAGTGGAAATACTGGCTTGGTCTGTTCAAGCCGCAGAGGTGGTCTCCCAGACAGGATACATATGTGGCCATTTGTCAACTGAAAATGTGATTCTGGACAGAAAAGTAGCGCCTGAATACTGTCTTCCACTCTCGTCCCCCAAAATGGAGGAGGAATGACTAGCAGCCCCTTTTGCCTTTCTCTCCTGGCATCTTAGCATCACCTCCTCCCTTCCTTCTCTGCCTGTGCTGACCTTTTTCTGCCCTCAGCCTACGCAGGGGTCCTCAAACTACGGCCCGCGGGCCACGTGCGGCCCGCCGAGGACATTTATCCGGCCCGCCGGGTGTTTTTGCCCCATTTGTTCTTTCACTTCAAAATAAGATATGTGCAGTGTGCATAGGAATTTGTTCATCGTTTTTTTTTTAACTATAGTCTGGCCCTCCAACGGGTCTGCGGGACAGTGAACTGGCCCCTTGTTTAAAAAGTTTGAGGACCCCCGCTAGTGAACAGGGGCTCCTCTGTGTGCCCCTATTTTTGTCATCTCTCCTTCACCTCCCCTCCACACAGCTTTGGCTTTCAGAAGCAGAGAGCAGGAGAAAGGATGAGGGCTAGTCATGCCTCCCCTATTTCTGGGCCTGGCCCCAGAACTTTTTGCCCTGTAGCCCTGGGGATTGGTGAGCATACTCCAACTATAACCCTATCCTGCTTTTGGATTCTAGGAAGAAGAATTGACGACCCTTCTGGGACCCATAACCCAAACATCTGCCTGCAGTACCATGCAGACACACACACAGGCCAAATGGTACTCATGTGAGTCTTGTATGTACCCAAGTCTGAAAAGCCGAGCCTCAAGCCCAGATCCTGTGGGACCCAGAATCTCCTGTCTCCAACTAGTCTACACTCCAGTCCTTCCCATAACATTAAAGGGCTCTTCTCCTAGGGATGGCTCTGGCAAAGAAACATTGGCCAACAGACCCAGCCCAGGGACTGGCACCTGTTTCCCGGTTGGGCAGGGCAAGCGTGAGAGAGTATTTTCAAGGTGGGAGTGAGGGAGGGTGACTCTAAGGCAGAGGGACAAAGAAATAAGGGAGATAGGCTGGAGAAGGCAATGAACTAAGATGAGAGACAGAGGAAGTAGAAAGTACGGACAGACCGAAGGCCAGAACTGAGGACTTCTTTCCCCAGGAAGTCCCCACCTTTGCTTTCGAGAGAGAGTACATCCTATCCCTAGAGGAGGATGGAGGATGGCCAAAACTGCTATCAGCTTAGGGCAGTCAACACTTGCCCTCAATAGCAAAGCCCCCTTTCTCCTTTCTCCCCACCCGAGGGGTGGCAGAGCCAGAGAGCCAGAGAAGCCCTCCACCATGCATGCCAGGGGCCTGCCTCTGCCGGCCCAGCCTCCATTTTGCTGCTTCTCCCACAGATGCTCCTTCCATTTTCTAAGCTGGCAATTTCGCCTGGGCTTGGAAGCCGGAGTTGTGTCCAGCATGCAGGGGGCTCCCAAGCTATGCCAAGTCAGGGCTGGGGAGCCAAGTCCTCTGACATCTGGGGGTATCCAAGGAGGACATGCTTCACTGGGGACAGTCCCCGCACCAGGGAAGCTGTGCCTCTTGCCTGACTCCAGGCACCATGCCTGGTCTGGAGCAAGGAAGCCTGCTTCAGTCCGCCGCCCCCACCCCAACACACACACACACACACACACACACACACACACACACACACTTCAGAGCAGCTTGGACAAAAGAGTCCATCCTTCCCTTAGCTCTTCAGCCTTTCTTGGGACGTGCCTTTCACCTCCTCCTCCTCTCCCTTGCCTGTCAAGTGCCTCTCATCAGGGACATCACACACACACACATACACACACACACACACAGAGGCACACGGATGCACACATTTGCAGCCACATGCCTACACATATGCATGTAACAATACACACAGGCAAACACATCTATCCTCACATCCTTATTGACAGAGACACCTGCACATCCAGGGACAACCCACATGTCCATGTGCACATTCACACACAAAGGGGCTGAGAGGAAGAGGGTCTCATGGCACCAAGAGATGAAGCTAGACACACAGCTCCTCTACATAGCTTCATAGGAGCTCCATTGCCTTCCTCTACACATCCCAACATACATATACACATACACACACACATGTCCCCCCTACGCAGAGCACCATGCCCCCTCCTCCCTTCCTGTGGAGACACACCACACACAACCCCCGCAAAACCTCCCGCCCCCTGCCAGACACAGAGACACTGCTGAACCCCCACACGAAGACAAACCCAATTCCCCCACACAGGAAAATTTGTCTCTTCGCCATACCTCCACTCCCTCCACTCCTCCCACCCAATGCCCTCCAAATGGAGACACCCGCCACAAGCCCACACCAAACAGAAACCAGAGAACCACACATTCCCAACGCTTCTCTTTGCCCAGCTTCAATGCCAAGGCTCAGAGTTCATGGCCTTGGAGCTCCAGCTCCCCCTGCTTACACCCTAGGCTTCTAGGCCCCCCACTTCCCACCCTCAC